CCCCCCCCACATACACACTTATTTTCAGGCGGATAGATTTCGTGTCTGAGCATTCTCACATGACGGTGGGTCTTTTCCCCCCCTAAAAACAGTTAAATAAAGAAAAAACAATATATCCTCATGCAAGAACTTTTCTGCTTCCGATTACCCCCATGCTTACAAGTTGCAAAGGAAACACGGAAGCAGGGAAGCGGCTGCCCAGATCCGGAGCTCCACACCATTTTTTTTTTCCAGAGGAAATCTCACTTGAGTATAAGCAGAGGGGGGTTTTTTCAGCACAAAAAATGTGCTGAAAAACTCGGCTTATACTCGAGTCAATAAGTTTTCCCAGTTTTTTGAGGCAAAATTAGGTGCCTCGGCTTATATTCGGGTCGACTTATACTCGAGTATATACGGTAAATAAAATTTCCCAAAGTTCATGACTTTTTATTTCTTCTAAGAGATTCTTTAGAATCTCTTAGATAGAATCTCTTAGAATCTATACGAACCTCTTAAAAATATTACTGGCTCTGTGCCTGTGTTGCTTCTTTAAGTATTTTTAATTGTTAACCTTGTTGACAGAGGAGGAAAAATGAGAGAAACTAAGTAAACATCTAGTTCAAAACATTCCACTACCAAAAACAATGGATGCTTAGTTACTTAGATTCCTCTGTTTTTTCATAACTCATTTATCATGAATCTGAGCTCTTTTTTGGCATTGTTTAGGTAACAAGCTCTTATAGTAAGAGAAAAATGGACTTTCCTTTTTAAATAGTCAAATCTTCCATCAATGAGATTACAATTTAGATTTTTTATCAAGTTATTTCTTCATTGTGAGACTTTTAACTAATCTCTTCTGTTATAAAATTTGAAAAGACAACAGTTTGAGTTCTGGTTTTTTAAATTTATTGTCTTTATTATAATCTCCCTTTCCTAACCTTCCCCCTGCATGATGAAAATCTTTGAAATTAAATACTGAGAGGTGGGGGGTCTTATCTAGCTTACACCAAGTCTTCAACAGGGTTTCTGCCTTGCTGACTTTATACTGCCAAAGCTCTTTTAATCTAGTCCAAGACAGAAAGACTGCAAGTCACAAGTTCAAGAGGAAAAGGATTTAGAATGTGTTTCGTTATGCATTAAAGAATCCTGATTAGGTTGAAGGTCAGACCATCTTTCACTATCAATCTTGACAAAAATTACTACTCATGATATGTTCTTGTATATTAGAAATGCTTTGAATAAATATTTGATCTGGTGGTTAAAGGCACCAGGCTAGGTAGTGGGAAATCATGAATTCTAGTCCTGCCTACTTTAGCGATAAAAGCCAGATAGTCACCCTCTCTCAGCTTGACTCACATCACAGGGTTGATGTTGTGGGGAAAATAGGAAGAGGAAGGAGTATTAGTAGGCATGTTTGTCACCTTCAGTTATTTATAAGAACATAAAGGTGAGATACAAGTAAATAAATCACTCTTTGTAATAATAAATCATTAAAATATAATCAGGGTATTTTAATAAAGCCTTCTTTCTGATTAAATCTTAATATCAACGTTCCTAGAAAAAAAAAACTGTAGAAAAGATGAAACTGCTTTATACAGAATCTGACAGAATCTGAGTTCTCAAGTCCCTGAGTAATTGTGTCACTTGCTGCTTGATCCTTCTTTAAGGAAATATGCTGAGGATCAGTGCAGTACAAGATTACTTGAACCTTTTTGCAATAGAAAAATCACTAAACTATGGTCCCTAGTAAAATAATATAATGGTCCACCTCTTTTCAGTTCAAAGTCAATTAGAAAAGAAAAACAACACGTACATGCCTGATTAATACTCACTAAAGCATAAATTATGCCATATGTTGAAGTATGCAATTAAAAAAAAAATCTGAGTAAGTTTGCCTGACTTGTGGTTGGTGTCTTTCTATTCCCCAGAGCAAATTCTTTGGCAGTTATGCTGCTGTTTCCCTTTGGTCACTTCATATTTCTAACATGGGATATTTACAGTTTAACTAACTCCTGCAAATTCCTTCTAAGTTGCTTTTGAACTGCTTTTGGGAAAGTATATGAATTTCTGGAATTGATTGTATTTTTGCCTTAAGGACAATTTGATTTTTTAGGAATATCAAATATAAGCTTGAGATAATATATGGAAGAATCTATGAAATATAATTTTTTAACGTAATTATAACTAAATGCCTCAGATATTAGGATTTAATTAGTTTAGATATAGGGCTATACAATGCTTTAAATTTGATTTGAAAGACATGTTTTAGAACCACTAATAAAATACATCACCTGACTCCAACTCATTAAAGCAGCCATGTATGTTTCCATGATCATGTGGCCACATCAGGGAGGCTTCATGTGTGTCAAGGTTTCTGTTAAAGCTTTGCAGTCCTGGAAATACATGTATCTGCTATAATGAGTTGCACCCGTTTTTGATTTGAATCATCACTTTTAAGCTGATTCAAAGGATGACTAAGCCTAAATAACTATTTTAAAATTTTGTTCACTCTTACCAACTTTTTTTTTTCAAAACCATACATTTTCTCCTTTAGGTTTTATGTGTGTGAAAACAGAAAAAGACACTGAAAGAATTCTAAGAAATGTTCATATTGTCATGAGTATATTTTCCAATTGTAAAAATTGTATAAAGGAGATGTATTTTTTATTTACCACACTGAACTCTTGAAGTTGATATCTGTTTTTTAAGGAAAAAAGAATTTGGGATCTGATGATTACAATGGATACTCAGTGAATTATATTTTTATAGAGTTTTTTAAAAAGTTCAACATACTTATTTTGTAGATTTATATATCACTTCTCAGTTCTCAAATTATCATACTTAGTATGATCCAATTCTTTCATGACGGAAGATGGATTTGACTTCTCCATTAATTTAATATTTGCTAGATCTTAATTTTACAAAGAAACTAAATATTGGTAATGTTAGCAGCATACCCTTTGGTAGAAGTAGGGGAAATAACATTGTGTCTTTAATAAGTGCAGCCCATGGGTTGATTTCTTGTCCCTTTTGTCTACTAATTATACAAGTATAATATACAGTACAGTGTAGTATAGTATAGTACTAAATATTCTATGCTAATTGTAGTACCAAATTGTAGTTTAAACACATCTTGAAGTTGAAAAAAGTTGTTTTGCTTTTATGCTGATGTAGTTATTATATTTCATTTTGGAAATTGGGATTGTAAAATGCTTGAGTTGTAATTCTGATGAATATGAAGCCTTCTAATCAAATATTTACTTTGCTCAAAATTAAATGACATTAACTTTAATAGACTTGCTCACAAATCAGTAAATAGTATAGAAATGTACCACAAAAGTTTTAAATTATCAGATTTCTTCTGCTGAATTAAAAGTTCAAACATTCAGGGGTGAAATCACTCCAAATATTGTTTTACTTAACTGGTTGTGTATTTCCCTAACATATTTTTTTTCTTTTTTTCCCTTTTGTTTCCTCAGGAAAAGAGGCATAGAGGTTATACCGGTGAGTGCATTATGTTGATTTCTATTTAAATGATTATGTTAATGCTAGTATGGCATCAATCTCTTCTGATCTTTCTTTACAATATACGAATATAAAATAATTTGAAAACTTCTAATAACTAAACGTTGAATAAAGGGAGTCCTTAACTTATGATCAATCATTTAACAATTGTTATAGTGGCCTTGGAAGGAGTGCTTCATTGCCAGTAAAGCACTTCTGCCCCTTGTAAAATAGCAATAGCACTTACATACCGCTTTACAGTGTTTTACAGCCCTCTCTAAGCAGTTCACAGAGTCACCATATTGCCCCCAGCAACAATCTGGCTCCTCATTTTACCAATCTCAGAAGGATGGAAGAGTGAGTCAACCTTGAGCCGGTGAGAATCAAACTGCTGAACTGCTGGCAGCAAGCAATCAGCAGAAGTAGCTTGCAATACCTCATTCTAAGCACTGTACCACCACCCCTGTTTGATGCATTGGCTTTTTGGGCAGCTGCAGCAAACTCCTGGCTCATATATAAGTGCCACATAATTGCATTTTAACCATGGCAACTGGCTCATGCTTATGACTGGTTGTAGCATCTCAGATTCATGTGACCAAAATTTCCAACTTTTCATGTCAGTTACAACCACATGATACACTTAACAACCACCATAAAAATGATGGTTATTGCACAAATTGGAGACCAAAAGGGGAATTGGGCTTGTACACCGTGTAGTAACCCTTGTAATTCTAAAACAGGTAATCCATGGCTCCCTCATACTCCCCCACACCCTTTCCAACTCAACGTTTTACCCTTATGTATCAACTGTCATGCACCCGCCCTGAATCATGCTTCTCATGTAACATCGTGCACCCTTTCTGACACCACCATGCCTTTCAAGCACCATCTTACTCTCGCCTAGACTCATGCAGTGCCTCTCAGGCATCCTCGCACAACTTCCCCAACCTACACTTCTTACATAGCACCGTACAACCTCCAGACCTTCACTGTGCCTCTCCTTAAAATTCTACAGTGATGAAGCACCCATAATTTCTAGACCAAACCATTCCACTAATTAATTGTTCTCACTGTCAGGAAATTTTGCCTAGTTCTAGGTTGGATCTCTCTTTGATAGGTTTGCACCTGTCACTTGTTATCCTGCCCTCAGGTGCTTTGGAGAATAGGTCAGCCCCTTCTCTCAGCCCCTCAGATATTGGAAGATTGCTGTCATGTCACCCCTCATCCTTCTCTTCATTAGACAAGATATATCCAGTTTCTGCAACTATTCATCATATGTTTTAACTGCCAGACCTCTAATCATCTTTGTTGCTGTTCTCTGCATTCTTTTATTTCTCTGATTGGCAGTTCCTCAGTGTTTTTATTTTCAGTGACACTAATAGAAAGTGATAGCTTTTACTGTAAGAATTAAGTAGCTTGCCTTTTGTAATCTACAAATTAGAAGCACTGCTGATACTTATCCTTCAAAACCAGAACATTTAATGCTTCAAAATATACCTAATAGTTACAGAGGGATATGGAAGAGATATTTATATTTATATCTGATATCAGAGAAACTACTTTAGGAATCCCCAAAATTCCTGTTTGATGTAGGAAATAAAATATGGCTGATCTGCATAATCAATTAATCATTGAAATAGTTTGCAGGTAGAAATAGTTTGCACATCTTGTTTTTGCTTACAGCAACCTCCTACCTTATATATGTGTTAGGTTGCTGGATGGACCTGATAGGAATTGTAGTCCACTATATCTTGAGGGGGTATCACATTGAGGAAGATTGAATTAAATAATTTAAAACAGTATTCATGTAATGAGGACTGAGGAATACTCAGCTTTAAAGTGCTTGCACTAGCCCAGATTACCATTGTAAGCAAATCAACCTTTGTGATCGTTGTGTATGGATCAAGGGGTGGGTGTTGAAGGACCTGTAACTCTGTATTTTACATATTTTACATTCATATTTAAAGGGGAAATACAATCCCTTTAAAAAATATTTAAAATATATCAAGTATAGTCATACTTGATCTAAACAAGGACTAAACTTCTAAACTGGAAGCCGCTCTGGATTGATAGCAGACTCCATCATTTTCTGGTCTCCACCCAACCATTTTTTATTATCATATGATGTATTCTCATTATTTTCTTTTTCATTGTTTATTTCACTGTTCTATTTTACTTCTGTTTTGTTTACACTCTTAATTTCTTCTTTTTTATTGTAGTAAGCCACCTATAATAGCCTCAGGGTGAAAAATGTGGCTAATAAATGTAACAAATAAATATATAAATAAAGTATATAAATGATGCAATTCCAGAAAGTTTATGGTCAAAGGAACATTAGGATCTTTTTTCTTCAGTTGTTGCCCTGATGACCTTGATGTATATAATAATAGTTGCAATCAGATTAAAAGTATGCAAGCCACCCAAGACCATTAAAGAGGTAGAAAACCTATTGTTTAAAAAGTGATCAAAATGTGGTACAGTACACATTCCAAGAAATGAAAATGTGATAAAATATCTTGAAAGCAAATTTCATTTCTAGACAAAATAATTTAGTGTGATTTTACACCTATAACTTTAATCATTCTGATGGGTACTTGATCATTTAATATTGTTAGTAGCTGCTCCTTCATAATACAGGTCAAAACTTATTAATGGCAGTTATTCCTATAACAAGAATTGCAAATATGCAGGGATTCTTATTTAGCAGCAACTAAAACAGCCAATTGCAGCCTTAAACTCTTTCAGGCATTGTTTTCCTTTTCTTAATTAGTGTAATGTCTGAACCTATCTCAAGAAACAAAGCATGGTTTACAAACTATAGGATGGATGAATATATTTTGGTGCCCAAGCAAACATTGCTTAATATGACATGATCGTGTATTCTTAAACTGGAATATGTACTTAGGAAATGATCTGTATAGACTAGCTAAAAACGATAGTACTTTATATGAAAAAATCAAGATAGGGATCATATTTGTCAAAAAGTATTTTGTCCTTTCATAATAAACACAAATATACATTAATATATGAAGCTTATATGAAGTTTGGAAATTCAGTTTTGAGTACAAAGAAATAGAAGTTATAATAAGTTTATTGAGTCTGAAATAGCTGGTAGAATAGAAGATCTTTTAAAATATTCTATTTAATATTTAGTTGGGTTTTGGAACGTGAGCTTTGAAATACATTTGCAGAAGAAAGGTACTAATTTCTCTCTCCTTCTCACTTCATCAGCGTTGGTGGTTAATAAGTTCTTCTGAAGCTGTAGTCTGCCAGAAATAATCTGAAGATTTGGTTTAAAATGTCAATTCACAAATAATAGAATAATACCTTTTCAACATTCTATATTTTAGCTGATCCAGGTAATATTAAATCAAGTTCTGTTAAGATTAGGTAAACCATCAATCTGAAACTTTTCTTAGAGAGTAAGGCCCTAGATTAGTGTATATGAAAACAAATGCATTGCATTGTCTTTTGCTATGTTTTTATTTCATATGCACAGCCAAAATAATTTTTCCTTATCCTTGTTATTCTCTAGAATACACTAAACCCAATGCTATTCCATTCATGAAGCTGTCTCCCAACCTTTGTGGTTTGTCGGCCTGGCTGGTGGGGAGAGAGGGGAACTGGGCTGTGTGCCCACTGGTCTGCCCCTTGCACAAGTTGAGCACGCATATACACACTCCAGCCAGGCACTCACATGGCCCAATTCCGAATAGGCCACAGCCAGGAGGTTAGGACCCCTGCATTAGTGGACTTTGAATTGTGTTTTCATGGAAATCAAAGCACAGTAAATTGGAAATCAAATCTTAAATTCTGCCATGTTGATGGATTCTGAGAGCATGGTAAGCAGTAAAACAGCATGGATAGATCCTATATAAAACCATAAAAAATAATGGCTTTCCTTTATAACGGGGGGGGGGGGGGACTTTATGTTCTTTCATTCCTTCTGTACAGAGGAAAAGCCCTTACATTTACTGATAACTTCGTTATGCAAAGTTGTTGTTGTGATTTAATCTAAACTAGCAGATTATGTCCAAGAGAACATTGTACTTTTCCAAATGTATTTTGTCTTTAACCTTGACTTGATACTGTCCTCTCTGATGTGCTTGCTATTGCAGCTTTTGTGAACTGTCCTCCATTTTTGTGTATAATTTTGCTAATTAAGCATTCTGTTACTTAATAGCAAAAAGATTACGCATTCATATCAGACCTTTGAAATAGGGAACTAGCTATAGTGCTGGTTATATATTTGCTTCTTTCTGCAAAATATTTTTTGGGAGACATAGCAAAGTTTGATAAATCTGTAGCATTAAATCAGTAGGTTGTACTTGAAGATGTCACTTCTTTGCTGCGGAACTATTCCGATTGCTATGAAAAAAAATGAAGGTAAAAATATATACACTTAAGAGATTTAACTGAAACTCTTATTTCTGAAAATGGACAAATCTTTAGCTAGGTGAAATTTATAAATGTTTATCTTTTTTCCTTATACTAATAAGGAAAATGGCAATGCTAAATATCCTAAATATTTAATGAACTGATTGTATTAACCAGCAGGGTTGCTTTTAATTCTTCTTTCCAGTGTTATATACTATTGAGCTAAGCCTGATAAAATTCTCATATTGCTGGTATGAGTCATTTTCCCTAAGTGATTAACAAAATAAAGATTAAATCATAAAGCATACAATGTAAAGAAACAAACTAAAAATAACTGTAGCAAGTAGAAAAGTATGAGACCTATTTGTTTTTTAGTTCTTGATGAATTGCAGTTTGTATGGCTCAGTGTTTAAAGATGCTGAGCTTGTCAGTTGGAAAACCGATAGTCCAGGTTTTGAGAGCCGAGATTGTGTGACGGGGTGAGTTCCCATTACCCACCTCGGCTTTTGACAATCTATTCTAGCAGTCTGAAAACATGACAAAGTAGATACTGTAAATATGTAGCACTCTGATGGGAAATTCTCCCTCGAGCTGCTCGGATCATCCAGAGAGTGGGAGGTGCT